AATACTCAAGTTGATGCTTCTCCTCTCTTGTGGCAGTTCAACCATGTTTTTATTGTTGTGTTTCAACCTTACAAAAAGTAGGAACTAATTAATAGGAAATCAAAGTGCATTTTTTTGCTTAATGTTTACAAAAATACAGTAATGCTATTAAAAAAAAAAAAGGAGTAATTGCACTGTTTGGTGCTAGGTGAACAGTGAGCTAAGACAGGACTTCCTATTTAGTCTAGCAGCAGTACAGGGAAGCAGAAGCACGATCCATAAAGTTAGACTCTGCACATCACTCTCAGAATGTCTGCTCAGTCAGTGAGTTATTGCCAGCACAGATAATGGTCACTTGTCCTATATGTTCAGTATTGTTTTTCTCCATTCATTATCTCGCTTTGAACTTGCTGTGAACTTCTTTGTCTTCAAGCCTTGGCATTAGTAGCTGTATTTCATGTTTGTTTCACCATTTCTTTTAGAGTTCCACCCTTTACCTCACCTCTCCACCACTTTTTTGGTGTGGCTTCTCTTTTTCCTATTTATCCCATCACCTCCTGCTTCTGTCCTGTTCTGTTCACTCCTCGAAACGTGAAGTGGGAGTGTGAGATATATTAAATGTATTTGTCCATAATTGTGATTTGGATACGAATTGCCTTACGTTCTTCATGTGCTGTGTTCCTGAAAGTCAGATATTAATGACTAATTTTATAATTTTATTGTTTTTAGAAACCCAAGAAGAGAAAGGAAGGAGAAATGACAGTGGTCAAGAAAAAGGTAATTTCATTATAAATAGACCACATTCCAGTCTTGTCTCTTTAACATTAGCCATCTCATTATCCTGTGTTGTGTCAAGACCTTTCAAAGAGTCCTTCATGGACACTGGTAAAGTGGGATGTGAGCTGCAGAATAGCTCTCTCTCACGCCGTGCTGCTCTGACTCTCTAATGTACCAAGGTCATAACATTTGAAAATCAAATTGGGAAGTTATTGACTAATGGAATTCATTTATTAGAAGTCAAGCTAATTCAGTAGTGTTAAAATCTACTGAACTTTATCAGATATACCAGCAGCAAACAATGCAGCCTCCAGCCATCCAAATGCTAGATGCTTTCCTGAACTGACAATAAAACCTGCTTCTAATGTGATCTTTGCTGCCATGGTGCTCACAACAAGTCTGAAACTTTAACTGCCAGGCTTGGTCATGTTTTGCAGAGGAGAAAGGTACCAGCCCACAGGACTATAGATACTACCTAAGAATGTGGGCCAAGGAAAAAGAGTCCAAGAAGGAAACTATTAAAGATCTCCCCAAAATGAGTCAGGTAAGAAGTGAATCTGAAGGTTTCCAGTTAGATGACTAACAGCTTGTTGAAGAACTGTGACATCATTTTGCTGGTGTGCTCAGTCCATGCAGTAGGTTGCCCTGCTGTTCTGGTGTAGTGAGCTGTAGAAGCTCCTAATTCTACATGCTTGTGTTGAATTCTTTAGTGGGCTTGCAGCTGGCTGTCAAGCTGCTGTTTCCTCTAGTGAGATGTGTTTGATTCTATGCCTTCCAGATCGTCTTTTTCTGTAAGACCTGCAATCTTTGTTTTCCCTCCTGAGCAGTGTGTTTGAAGTGAGCCATCAGTCATATAAGCTTGCTTGGCTGTTCTGTTTTTCGCATTGCCTCAACTTGAGGCTGCTTGGTGGAGAGCAAAGAATGCAGTTACAGGAAGAAGAGTCTTATGACTAGTGTGATCTTTTCTTTCTCTTAATTTCCTGTATGGGTGCTTTTTATACCACTGCGGAAATATGTAGAAGCTGGCTACAGAAGAGTAGCAGGGCAGAAGTAAGACCTCAGGTTTTCTCAGGAGTGAATGTTAGCATGCTGTCCCCCTGTTAGCAAAAGTACTGTCACTGTTAAGTTCCTGGCTGTGTCTCAATTCAGCTTCGGTAGCACAGAGCGGAGTTTGCCTAATTTGGGATTGTTCTGAATCAGTAAAGTAAGTTGCAACTTCGTGGGGAGGCAAATAAAGTAGGAGTCGGTCAACATGCAATCTGTTGTTTCATCTACTGCTGTCAATTTTTGCAGCCTAAAATATGATTCTGATCTTTGTCTTTGAAAGGAACAATTCATAGAGTTATGCAAGACCCTTTACAACATGTTCAGTGAGGACCCAGTAGAGCAAGAGCTGTACCATGCTATTGCCACTGTCGCCAGCCTCCTTCTGCGAATTGGGGAGGTTGGGAAAAAGTTCTCCAACAGACCCGTAAGGAAGTCTGAGGACTGCAAAACAAACAGTAGCCAAGATCCCGTGAGTGAAGAGGAGTCACCTACATCTGAACAGAGTCAGAACTCAACAGTGGAGCAGCAACCCCGAGCTGAAGACAAAACCTGCAGAGATGTTCAGCCTGAAAAAACTGAGCAGGAGAACCAGACTCTAGGAGATGGCTCGGGGGAAGGACAAGGTTCTCCTTTGCAGCTGCTATCAGATGATGAAACCAAAGATGATATGTCCATGTCTTCCTACTCCATGGTCAGCACAGGCTCCTTGCAGTGTGAAGACATTGCAGATGACACGGTCCTTGTTGGCTGTGAAGGTGGTAGTGCAGCTGCCAGGTACGGCAGCACCATTGATACTGACTGGTCTATTTCCTTTGAGCAGATCTTGGCTTCCATGCTGACTGAGACAGCTCTTGTAAACTATTTCGAGAAAAAAGTCAACATTCTCCAAAAGATCAAAGATCAGAAGAAGGTAGAGAGGCAGTTCAGTTCATCCAGTGACTATGAGCTTTCTTCTGTGTCAGGGTGAACTCAAAGCAATTGCTGCCTTTGGGAAATAAAACAGGGGGATAATGTGGCGGATGGCAGGATGGTTTGGTATTTTGTGTTCAGGGTTGTTTTTTTATTTATCCAGAGACCATTTACTACACAATTACAGTAGATTCCATTTGGTAAGGGGCATCAGACAGTGACTGTTCTGTGTAGGTGCTTTTTTTTTTGCTCCTGAGATTAACAGAATTAGATTTACATTCTCAAGAGCCATTAGAACCTAATAGCCCCTGACATACAGAACTACCACCATAAATTATGCATGTCTGACTTCTGCTATCTTTTATTTCAATGAAGTTTTATTTCAGACAGTAACTGCTCCTTGCCTGCCCTTGTTTGCTGTAGATTCCTGTGTAATTTGCACAGCAGATGCAGCCTGGCTTGAAACCGCGTTCATCTCTGGCTGCCGATCTGAGAACTCACCCAGTGTTCTCAAGTGCTATAGGACCTTGACCTATGAATAGTCTCCTAAGTTCCTCAGTGCTGTTCTGTGACTCAGCAGCTGCAGTGCAGATGTGCGCCACTGCTCCCAGCGCCCTAAGGTCTGAACACAGACATTTCTCAGATCTGCAGGTTTCTTTCAGATGAGATTTGCTGTTTTCATAATACAAACACTTTTCTCTATCATTCAGGAGACATTTTTCAGACAAACCTGGTTTTCTAGCTTTTGCAGTTCTTTGAAAGCTACTGTTTCTAGTTTCTCTCAGAAGCCACAAGCTCCTTGACTTCAGTGCAGCAGTAATATTAGGCCAGTCAGTGGGCTTATGATGGCTATAAGAAGGGAGCGTGCTCCTGAACAGTGAATCAGCCTCAGCATTAGAATAGTGGCACACTGCTCTGCTGGACTTTCCCTCTTGGTACAGAATACGTTTATTTCCTCGCTGATTCTCTGTTTTTGCTAACTAGTGATGGGTCCAATTTTAATAAGACCCTTAAGAATGCTCTGCTCAGTCAGCCCTTGTGTATGCTCGGGTTGGATTTATAGGAGTGCTGTGCCACCTGCAGATGCTCAGTGTGTCCTTTCTGAACATCTCTTGTATGAAGTGTCTAGCCATGGACGTGCTCTTAGAAAGTACTGTACATCAGAAGGTATTTACACCTAATGAGGGAGAATTCAAAGCACTGTGAGGCTCTGCCATCAGTCTGTTAGGAGAAACCTGAGCAGTGTAGGTTTCATTTCAGTTGAAGAGATGAAATAACTGGAACAGTGAGTGACTGCTCAGTGAGAAGAGACTAAGAATCAGCCTTCTGGTGGGAGAGCATCCGCTCCGAGGAGGGCGAATGAATGCTGTTGGAACAGATAAACTCATCTCGGTGCACAGGCATCTGCCTCACGGGGCCAGAGGAGGAGCTGTTGGTGCTCAGCGGGAGCAGACCCGGTGCTGAAGGCAAGGAGTGCTGCAGGATCGGGCTGGCATTTGGCATATAAAGGAGGGGAAGGACCCCTGCAGTGCGATGCTCCATTAACACTACTCGGTGTGCTTCTCCGTGTGAATTCCCTTGTGACATTATCTGTGTGTATTCACAGCTGGTACACATTTCTTGTTTTTTCTGCCTCTGCCCTGTAGCTGGAGAGCGGCCATTAGTTAAACTGCTTTTACTAATTATTCAGTAATTTATTGTAATTTTTTTAAAGTACAAATACTACATGTGATTTTACACTGTCTGTCTGTCTGTCATGTACTCAATAAACAAACCAGAACCAACAGGCTACCTTGGCTGCCTTTTATTTCTCTGAGCTCAGCAATGATTGCATGTTCTCTGGCCACAGCAGGTTGCTGCAAGTGCTAGATTGCTGTAACTGGCGTCAGGCCACTTTGTTTCTTCTTATTTTTATCACTTATTATTAATAATGATTATTTATTTTTAATATTTTGTTATTATTACATATGCGTAGTTACCTTTATCTATAAGCATGCACCTTATTAATAAACACAGCATTGCAAACTTTTGTTCAGTGGATTGCAATCAGTCTTCACTTGTGAAGACGGCTCAGACCAAGTGAGGGGTTCGGAGGGGGGTTGGTTGGTTCGGAGGGGGGTTGGTTGGTTGGTTGGTTGGTTCGGAAGGCGGCACGCAGAGCAGCCCCGCGCCATCCCTGCGACGCACTGCCGCGGGGGCGGGGCATAGCGGCAGGGGGTGGGGCTTAGAATGCGGGGCCGGGGGATTGGCTGGGAGCGGGGTCACGTGAGCGGAAGGCGCGAGTTGCCATGGCGAGGGGAGGATGGCGGCGCCCTGTTGGGTGTTGCGGTGCTGCTCGTGCCGCCGCTTCCAGGCGCAGCAGGTGGGGTGCGGGCCGATGGGCCGGGAGTGCGCTGCGGGCCGCATCTGACTCCCTCTGCTCCTCCTAGGCCAAGCGGAGCCGGAAGTGGAGCTGCTGCGTGTGCGGACAGCGGCAGGCCCTGCAGAAGGTGAGGGGCCGAAAGGGCCGGGCAGCCTGTGGTGGCAGGGGGCGCCGAGTGGTGTTGGGGGCGCTGTGTGGTGTCGGGGGCGCTGTGTGGCTCGGCGCGCTGAAGCGCGGCGTCACGTCCTGCTGTTTGTTCCCTGCTGGGCGCTCCCTGCCTCTGTGTTACTTCTGCAGGTCTACGGGCAGGGCTCCGGCCGGGACTGCAGGCTGCACGTCCAGAAGCTGAACTTGCTGCAGGGTGAGGCAGAGGAGGCTGCTGCCCGCACGGCTCGGTAGGTAGGGGCTCGTAGGGCTGCTGGGCTGCTCTCCCTGCTGAGCGCAGGTTTGGGCTGTGGTAAAGCCCAAACGTGTGCCATCCGTGTCACCCACCTCTCGATTACACACCGCTGGATTTAGCGTCCTGGCATGCTGCTTTGAACGAGGGCTTCTTTCAGATAAGATCATTATTGTGTTGGTTAGGCCTTTGCCTGTTAAAATATGTGGAGCAGAGTTTTTATTTGTTTGGTTAATCTCTTTTATTGACAGAAATGCATTAGTGCAAACATTTGGGTGTAACTCCTCCTGGGCTGGAAAATCTTAGTGAGGCTTTCCTGTTTATTTCACCCCAGTCTGTTTATTAATTGCCTAATTGTGAACTGAGCTTGAACTTGTAGAGCTTCCTCTGCACTCAGGATTATATTCAGAGATGAATCAGAGGCAGTTAGATAACTTTGTTGTGTAATGCAGTGCTCCGGGGTTAAGTTTTGGGAAGAAAACTCCGTGTTTGTTCACCTTATGAAAAAAAAAAAAAAGTTGCTGTTCACAAACATTATGAAATAAATTCCCTGTTTCCTTGCTTGCTTAGGGCATAATCAGTGGTTTTAAGCTGTCATCCCAAAAGATACGCTGTTCTATCCCTAATTACGATCAATTAAAAATTGTCAGTTCATGGCTAGTGGCTTTCGATCAGAATCATTACTCTATTTGTATGGGAGGAAAGCAGACTAACCTCCAATACAGTATAAACAGTCGATTTGCACACTGGATTAGGAACTCCAATTTAAACATCTGTTTCAGGCACAGAGAAGAATGTGAAAACGACAACAGAAATGCAGCAGTCCTTCATGAGAACAGTTTGGTGCAGCAGGTGAGACACCTACAAAGCTGGAGTAAATACCTAGCCATGCTGACCCGGGGAATCAAAGTGAAACCAGTGATCCCTTTATATTAACACAGCTGAGATGATAGTGTGTATATACAGGCTCCAGGAGAGATGTAGAATGTGATGCAAACAGAAACTTTCTGCTCTACCCGGATGCTGAACCTGGGAACAAGATAGAGGAACATGTCCTAAAGTGACTTGTCGCTGGAGGCATTCAGCACAAATGTGACAATGCCAGGGTTGAGAACCTTGTATTTTGCTGTTTTCAGTAATTCTCCAATGTTGTAGGGGGGAAGGACAGAAGTCAGTCGCTGGAGTAAGTATCTGGACAAGGGCAGTGAAGATCAAGAGGAGGAGGAAGAGGAAGGAAGTACAGAAAGGCAACAGTTCTGTTCTCAGAGGAAGAATGCTGTGGAAGAACGAAGGTACAGTGATACAGGCTGGCATTTCAGATGACAACAGAAAGAGCTTTTTTTTGTAATTCCTACCTTTAAGTGTAGTTAAAGGGTTGTGGGAGATATTTTATTATAGCTGAACGAAGTACAGGCTGTAATGAACAGCATGGCTTGACTTCTGTTGCTAGGAGTTTGCTTTTCATGAGCATTTATGGTGACTTGTTTGTGATAAAAATGACAGTGGAGTTAACCAGGCACCTTTCTGTGTGGTTCTTTTGATCAGGAAAAAGCAGGAGAGTTTCCTCTACGGTGATGTTCAGGAGAACTCGGAGGAAGATGGCGCTTTCCAGTTTACCTATCAAGCCAAAAAGGTTAGAACCTCTTGAGTATTTTTAGCTGTAGAAGACTAAAGCAAAACAGTGTTTTCCTGGTTCCTTTCATGTCATTGTAACTTTGAAGTTTTAAATGTCTTCCTCTGCTCTAATATTGAATGAATGGGGAGAAGCAGCAAATCGTATTGTGACTTTCTCTCTGCAGGGTTTTAGTCAGGTATGAGCAAATGCCATCTGATATAAGGTAAAAGTGGTTTGGCCAGATTCCTCCATCAGTGCAACTGTTGTCAGTTCTGTTTTGCTGTTGTTGAGCATCAACGCCTTGCATAAGACACAGCTGTGGGGTTACTGTAATTATCTGCCCTGCTAGTTAAGTTGCCTTGAGTCTTCACAGCCCAGGGTTCATAGATCCAGCTCTGCTTCAGATTGCTGGTGAAAACATAAATGTATTTAAAGGACAAGAGTGCTCTTTCTTTGCCTGTTTCTTGGTACATGTGCTGCATTTCCAACCAAGCTCTTTCTTTCTCTTGTTACAGCACAAGAAATGTTCGACAGCAGTGCCTGATGGAGATGATGGAGATGCTGTTTCTGCAGACAGTGGTGTAGTGCTAACTGTCTTTGAGTCCACAGTGCCACAACAGAACAACCAACCCCCAGCTGCTTGTACCAAACCCTCCAAGTGGGAAAAGTATCTCTCCTGTTCTAACAACTGTAGTGAAAATGCTGTTATGGCCACCTTGTCACCACAGGATGGCAGTGGAAGGTTGGGACCACACCGCACCACTGCTGTAAGTAAGGCCACTACACATTTGGAACAGGTTCAAAGTGCTCTACCTCTAGGTACAGATTTTAAATCTAAGAAGTGTGTAGCTAGCACCGAGCAACTTGCCTTAAAACTGCCTGGCAGCATGCAGCCCAGCATCAGTTGCTCAGGTGAGAATGATGCATTGGCCAAAGAAGCTCCAAGTCAGGTGCTATGGGCTGGAGCTGGTGACTGCAGCACTGGTAGCAGACCTCCTGCACCCAGCCTTGCGAGGCCCACGCCTCACACCACTTCTTGTGAACGCCTCTTCTGCACAGGTGATGACTTCAATGATGATTTCTGAGAAACTTGGGCATCTTCACCATTGCTTTTCTGTCTGTCTGTTGTGTGGTTGGCTTGTATCTTGTTGCAAGATTTTGAAGTGAAGGTATGTTTAAGAGCACTATTAAAGAAGTTGCTTAAAGGCTATCTAGCTGTGTTCTGTTGGGAAAGACTGATCCAAGAAGTGCTGCATTTGCACAGTGGTGTCTAGCAAGCGTATCAGAAGTGAGAATGGAAGGAGGGAGGGAGCAGAGGTGCATCCAAGGCTTTAAGGATATCTGACTGGTACAGTTAAGTTCTGTGATTAATTCCCCACTGTAAACTGCAGCTCTTTTTCCTTGTTCTAGCTCTTTTTTTACATCACCCATAGCAACTCTTTCTTCCAAAGCTACTGTGCAGGCTTCAGAGCCAAGCATTTGATTTCTCTTCACAAATGAACAGCCCTAAGGGTCTGCTCAAAGCCCAAGTTATGGGCAAGAAGCAGACTGCCACAGTGCAGAGTCTGTTATACTGGGAGTCACCTGACATGGAAATCATGTGCTCTTGGCCTGGACCTTCTATCTTATAATCAAGTTCCAGTTAACAGAGTAGAACAGTTATGATAATTAAACACCCACAAACTCATCACCAGTTGAAAGAGTGGCAGTATTTATTTCTTCCTCCACACTACAAGCACTTAGGAACATGAAACAGAAACCTTTAACAGAAGATGCATTTCTAGAGTTAACTGTACCACGTTATTTTCTTTCAGTTAGAAGGAAACTAGTTTTTGTTACACGGACTACTACAAGTTAGGAGGCTGCTTGGAATACTGGATGGCATCTAGTGCTGCCCCGATGTCACAGTTCTTTGTCTGCAGGAGTCGAGTGAGCCATCCACCCTCATCAGAGAAGCCCATAGACAGCATCTGGGACAGGGATTCAATCAAGCGAGGGTCTGCTTCTGTTAAGAGAATGATAGTTTGAAGTTAAAATGCTTCACATTAATAGCAAACCAGACAAGGCTGTGGTATCACACGGTAGGCTGGCACTAATCCTAGCAGATCTGGCATAGCTGACAAGCACTGGAAGACACTCTCCTGTGTATCCTATGAGGCAGACATTTTGAGGTACAGCATATGTAACTGGTAAGGAAACAGCTGAGTTAGATCTGTCTGTCCTTGCTGTACACATCAGTGCTGGTGATCAGTTAAGTGACCTGGCATACTTCTAACAAGCTCTTGCCAGAGAAGCCTCTTAAGTCACAGGATGTATTGTCTACAGCCTGCATTAAAAGGCTCTCAAAGAGTCCACAGCAAAGACACTGTTTAGGAGGCCACCTTTTTCATGCTGCTCAAATGGCATGTTAGTACCAGTTTAGGACTTGCTGCCCCCGTTCAAGCAGAGAACATGCCTGTTCCTAACAGCATGCAGAGTGCTGCCCGAGCACAAGTTACAATTTAACTTGTCCAGATGTGAGCTTGGTTCCTAAGCAGGTTTGCTTATACTGGGCAAGTTGGCAATAACTGAGAGCAACTTTCACCCACGTGAAACCTGCATGCATTCTCATACCTGGTGGGAGATGTGGGTAGAGTGCAGCCTCTCTCAGCCCTGTAGGTCCTGCCTGGGGAGCTTCCTGAGCTACATCTAGGGAGCTGGGATCATCTGTCTCTGGCATTTGTAGAGACTGCAGTTCACCTGTGGAAGGATCCACTTCTTTGGAAGATAAGTGGGTCCAGTCCTCATCACCCCCTGATGAACTGCTTGACTCACTGTGTTCCTGAAATGGAAAGAAAGGAGGTCCAGTGCTGCAGTGCTTTCCAGGTAGGATGCATGCTCTTACTATCTGCTTTTAATGGGTAGAATTACCTTCACAAGTCCCACCTTTGCTGTAAACCAGTAAAGCAAAGGTGCCATATATTATCTATCTGCTGACAACTGACTCATCAATCTCACAACACATAGCAAATTACTTTCACTCCAGTAAAGCCTCACCAACCATATTAAATTAGTGCAGTGTTTCTTGTACCTGGGACTGGAGGCTGCCATCTTCCATTTGTGTGGGCACAGGATCTATCACCATGTCTTGTATCTGCTCTGCAACATTGCTTACTACCGTAGCAGAATCTGTGCTATTCCAGTATGGTTTGGTCTGACTGTTCTGGTTAAGAGTACTGCTGCTTGACTCAGCATTGTTACTCTCTTGATTAGGAGGAGCAGGAGTCACTTTGCTTCTCTGTCCTCCATGTTCCACATCGATATCAACTTCAATACCTAGGGACACATTTGAGACCAAGAAAAAACGTTAGATTTTCTGAAAGCACAGTTCTAAGAAAAAGTACACATTAATCCTGGACTGAATGCTGCAGCATGATAAAACTGTAATCCTACAGTTTTCCATATAATATGTATGAATTCAAGTTTGTGAAGCATTCTTTTAGTAAGCTTTGATGCACCAATTAGTCATCCTCCACTAAATAGACAGGCCATGTGTTTAGGGGTCAAGGCAGAACTTAAATATGCCTGCCTAAGCAAAATATCACTGTAACATGATTTTAAGTCATTGGTGACTTGGGGTTATATAATTAATCCCTTCCTCAGCTCCTTACAAAGGACTCTGAAAAGGCACTGAGTGGATGGCCTACACCCAAACAATTTTAGTACACAATAATTTAAGGCTTTGAGGCTTAGTAGCACAAAGTGGTTCTGGTACCAACCACAACAGCTGGCTGCTGCTCCTGGTGGGAGCAAAGCCAGTCTCAGGGATGGGGATGACACACTAAGTCACTTACCCAGGGGGCTCAGAAAAGCTGCCACACTCTCCCCAACATTCTTTAAGAAGGTGACATTGGGGTCCTGGGGCTGGCTGTTAGTAGAAGCTTCTAGAAGAATAATTTGTGTTAGTACACATAGCAGCCCACAGGGAAAGAGCACATCCCCAGGAATTCTTGGTGCTCGTTTTGTGTCACTCATCTGCACAGCACAAAGGCAGCAGAGAGACCAAAACCACCTCTGGAACAGACCAGTGGCATTAGCTCTGTTAAGGCTCATCAGCCATGCTGAAAGGCACATCTAAGAGCAGAGCAGTGACATGCTTGACCTAATAGCTCTGCTTGGTCTGGTTCCAAATAATCCCTCTCTAGACTCATGTATTACATGGCCACAAGACACACCAGAAGTGAAGCGTCCTGAAAGGGGCTAATTATTTCCCACAAAGTAGATTAGTTCCCATGTCTCTTTTTGCACCCAGATTCCACACTGTGCTGTGAAGTCCCAGCTACTCTGCTCCTCCAGCACTGCTCTCCTTTACCAGACCACCTCCTCTTACCTCCAGCAGCAGGTGGACTGGAGGCAGCAGCACTGGCTTGGGCTTGTTCCGAGTTCTGGCACGGAGCTGCAGGTCCAGGATACCCCCAGCAGTGCATCCAGGGGAAGGGTGGAACGCCATGCCGCATCTTACGGAGCCAGCGCCCTCTGGGAAGCCACTGCAAAAGGTGATGTTTGTGGGGCAAGTGAAACTTAAAGCTTACATCTAGGTAGCATCCCATTCGTTGGTTCCACTCCCTAAGTTTTGCTCACCTCAAACGGATTCAGCAGCGGGCTCTGAAACATCACCATGTTGTGCTCCTTGTGGATGCCTTTCCCCTCGCAGGTGCTGCACAGGTCGTAGTCAGGGCAGACGGTGCACTTGAAGCGAGCACCAACCACCGGCCCCTCGCAGCCGTCGCAGATGACGTTGGGGTGCACCATGTCACGGGGAGGCTCCTGGCTGCACTGCGAGCGATGTTCACGCCTGCACTCCTTTTTCTCTATTAAGGAAAGGGAACTTTGCATCAAGAACGAGGGTACTATTTAAAGGCTGGAAATCGGGCAGAGGAGAAGGAAACACAAACAGCCCTTGTCACAGCAGTATTGACTTACTAGGTCAGTTTATTTTTACACTGGCTGCCAAACGCAAGCTGAGGGCACATAAGAACACTGACCAAGTGCAAAGGGGTGTTACAAGCATACCTGCGCCTCAAACAGCATGCCTCACCCCTAGCACTCTGCATTGTTTTAGATTAGTGCTGCACCACCCTGCTTGGTGTGTCGTCCTACTTTGTGAAGTGCTGTGAGAATGGAACGCTTCTTGAGAGGGCTCAGCAGTGCCAGGAGACACAGCAGATGAGAACTGAGACAAGAAGGGTGGCTTACATGACTTGCTGCAAGGACTGCACGTAAAGCTTTGCAGGTACCCAAGTGAACAGAAGGGACTGAGGAACAATGTGCTTAGGAATAAGCTGGATTTTGGGCCCCTTAGCATGTCACAGCACCTGCTGGTAGTACAGCAGGGGGTTCACAGGACCAGCCCAAACACACCAGCTCTCACTGTGCCAACCGAGGCCCTGGAGCCAGGAGGAAGCCCTGGGCAGGGTGGGTTTATGCCCTGTCATTACCCTGCCCTTCATTTAACCTCCCCTCTAAGCTGTGGTGTGAAGATGAGGGACAGAACGGGGATTTTCCCAGTCTCGGAGCCCAGCCAGCAGCACATCGAGCCAAAGCACTCGGTGCCACCAGGGCTGCGGGGCGTTACCTCTGATGTACACGCGGAAGACCCCGTCCTGCACATAAGGCATGGCCATATCCAGCTCCTCGTCGGTAGAGAACGCGATCAGGTCCCCGTCTTCATCTGGGTAGGGCAGAGGACCCCGTCAGGCGCTCGGCCCACGGAGCAGAGGGACACCGCGCCGCCAGGCCCGCCCCACCTCCCGGCCAAGGGGCTCCCGGCGGCCCCGACCCGCGGGGTTGCCCCCCGCCCCGCTCACCCTTATAGTGCATGCGGAACGCGGGCGGCGGCCCGGCCCGCAGCAGCCCCTGGAAGAGCTCGGCGACGCGGTCGTGGACGGCCTGATAGCGGACGGGCGGCATCAGGGAGAAGCGGCGGATCTCGCGGGTCGCATCCTCCTTGCCCAGCAGGTAGGCTTTCACCGTCAGCGCCGCCATGGCTGTGGCGCAGCAGGAATTGCCGGCGGGACGCGGGGCTGCGATAGGCGCTCCGGGGCGGGCGACGCGGGGCAGGCGGGGTGCTGCGCGCCCCTGTCTTATAGCGCCGCGCTGCGGGATGGGCGGGGCTATGTTTGGCCACGCCCCCTCCCGCAGGCCACGCCCCTTTGGCCTGGCGGCGCCCGCGGCCTGCGCTGCCGGGAGACTGTAAATAGAAAGACGTTATTCGTCCCGAAAGTAATGCCTCCTATTTTTCTCCGTGGGAGCTACAGCAGCTACAGAGAGCACGATGACACTGTTCGATAGAGCAAGTTCTCAGCTACAAAATGTTGTCACCACCACAGTGCTATGTGTTTTCACCAGTGATGAACAAGAGCCTGCATGCTGCTCTCATAAAATCCTGTCCTGCTGGAGGTGACTGCTGTCATTGTCACTGCTGCTGAAATGCACCACCCACCGCCATGCTGTGCTCACAGCCACTCACTCATCTCCATAAACACTCAGCAGGCATTGGTGAATGTCAGCGAGCACCACTTCTTCAACCTCTGTTGCCATCCTGCCACCAAACAGGAGGCATTACTTTTGGAGCAGCCCTTGTATGTCAGTTGTGTAGCACTGATTTCCTCCAGCCCGTGGCCTGGCTGCCCAGCTTGGGCTGAGATGATAAAACCGTAGAACCTGTGCTGTGATGCAGTGCCCTTTGCAGCCAAGCACAGGGTAAGCGTTAGTTTCCATGCGCCAAAACGCGGCCTGCCACGTGGGTCTGTCCTTGGCCCACGTGAGGCAGTTTTGAGATCGCAGCGCTCTTCTGGAAAGCAGCACTCATGCAGCATGAGGTGACAAGGGAAAGCTTGATGTGAGCCACGGCCTGGGCATCAACACCAGGAATCCTTGTGCTCCTCCATGTGAACTTCAGTAAACATGGAGAACGTCCCATCTCTGTGCTGCCTGCTGAGTAACGCTGGGCCCTCTGGCTGTGACATCACTCACTTTCTCAAAACACAAAGAAAACAAGGCCTCGGCCGGGCTCCGGTGAGCTCAGCTCATGGTCACGGGATGGGGTGACTCAGCGTTCCCTCCTCCTCCTTGAGGTGGGGATTTCCTTCTCCAGGCCCTGGCTGGTGTTTCCCCATGGCTGGGGCCCTGCTGTGCTCCCATGTATTCCCACGGCACTCCCTGCATCCTCTCATCCCACAGCTGGACAGATGAAGGATGTCTCCCCACCAAACCCCACCTGCACACAGCTCTGCAGCCTGAGATTTGGCTTGAGCTCATGTTAACTTGAGCCTATATTAATCCAAGCTTGGCATTCATTTGACAGCACTGAATATTTTCTTGCTATTCTTTAGGAATCATGCTCCATCAGAACAACCCTTGCTCAAAAAACCCCTTGGCAACCCCGGTTATGAGCAGCTCCCCAGATGGACGGAGCAGAAGGACAGCAAAGCAGACGGGAATAAAACTGCTCCAGTTTCACGATTCCAAGTTGCAGAGGAAGGGCTCAGAAAAGAGCATTCAGCACCCCTGCAGCTCTGCTTCCTCCCTCCACCCACCTTCTGCTGGAAAGTGTTTAAAAATATTTGCTGAGATTGCTGCTCCAAAGGTCCAGTCGTCAAAAGTGCTCGTTCTGCTCAAGCTCTACACTGTCACAGCAAAGCCCCGCTGGGATTCAGCTCCCGTGCTCACAAACCACAACAGAGGCTGCTGGCAGTTCTCCAGAGGGAATCATTATCCAAGCCACCGCCCCACCACCCTGCACCTGGGCGGGGGGGAGGGTTTGCCCTGAGCAGAGCTGCAGAGAGCAGGTGCTGGTGCTTTCCTGAGGCTTCTGGAGAGGGATCCTCCGGATGTGTGAGGTCAGATGCTGATGACTCACCCTGCCCCGTGACTGCTTCCTCCTCCGGCCCTGTAGAAGGGCTGCCTGCCCTCCTCCATGCCTCCTTCAGCCTCACCAGGGCTCCCACCCAGCCCTGAGGCAGCTCCTGGTGTCCAATCACCATCATGATTAACAATGCATAACATAACGAATAACAAAAAACACCTCGCATCCAGCCTGCTTCCAGGGTGTCACAAATACATGCTCACACATACATATATATGCGCACATCAGTAGGTAGGTGTACATGCATTAATACAGAAATACATCTCTTTTTTGGTGGTAGGATCATGTTCAGAAACGTTGCTTAGGAAAACTGTGTGGGCAGAAGGGGAAGCCAAGCTGTCTTTTTGCTGTCTCATTTTGAGGTCTGGTTTCCTGAAGCTGAGCTCTGAACCTGGTGGTGTTTACATAGGATCAGAACCATTCGTCACTGGTGTAACACAACACTTCTTTTTAAGGGAGGAAGAGCAGGCACTGAGCAAAGAAGACAGGAAGAAGGTGCAGATGGCAAGCATGGAGTCAGCATGCATCTATGCCGTGAGAGGACATCAGAGCTCTGTGCTTGCACAGGTGAGATGGCGCTTTTTCCAACCTACATTCCTTACCTGGAGTGAGTGCTGTGTTCAGAATGTGATTTGTGACTTTTGCCCCAAATGAGAACCTGAAGGCAATGATGTCTGAATGCGGCAGCCTATGGGTACCTGGCAATGAGGTCACTTTGTTGCTGATGAAATAGCACTGTGCTGATGCAGAGCAGCTGGGCCAGAGTCAAGCTGGGGGTGAACGACTCTTCAGAGAACCAGACAGAATCAGCTATCAATCTGCACTGCATTCTAAATCTGGTCCTAACATGCATTTCTCCTAATTTCTGTCACGGCCTTAACTGTGGGCAGCTCACAGTGTGCAAACCAAGCTCCTGCAGTGTGCTCAGTGCTGCCAGCACCGACGGGACGAAGGTCACCGGGTTCTGTTTGCTGTTTGGGTTTTTGAGTGTTTGCAGTTCACAATTCAAACTTTGCTTAAAAAAAAAAAATAAAAAAAAAAAGAATGACAAAATAAAGCCAAAACTGAGGTGGGGGCGGGGAGGGCCTTTAGGAGTCAAGGTAAACTTTGCCACCAATACAAATGTCACAGGGGCCGAAAGTTGCGCTCTTATTTTTCCAATGAAAGCCCAAGGTTTTATCATGCCGTGGTGTGGGGAAGCTCATTTATTTCTTCAGCCTTTTATGAAAACAAAATACAACAGAGAAATTAGATTAAGCTCTATCCTTTGAAAGGAGTCTAATTGGTCGTCTTGGAGAAATTATTGTTTTTCTTTCCCACTGCAGGTGCATCGCATATCCCAAGCGGTGGGAGCATTTTGCACATCTGGAAACAGTCCCTCAGCATCTGATTCTGATTCTGATGATTCTGGTGCAGCAGAACACATCCTGGTATTGCCCTGAACTCCGCAATGGTCATAGGGCTCAGCACTGCTCCCACCCGCAGCTCTCTGGAGGGGTTCCCCCATTAACTGCAGCTCCTGCAGTGCACATCAAGGTTTCAAAAAGTGATTCATTGCCCAAAATGGGGAAGGGATGCAGGGCTGCCTAATTGCCACCCCGTGTGTATGGCTGCTGTAATGCAGCGGTGCTGCAGCTCTGGGAGCCCACAGTGCGCTGCCTTTTCAGCCCAGCCTCACTGTGCAGCTCACAAGGAAACGAAGCTGAGCCCATCAGCAGAAGACTGATGAACTGAAGAACAAGCTAACTAACATTTATATCTGATTTCTTCTGTCCTGCCCAGCAGCTGAAGGTGGACTCTGTCCAGGGTATTTCTGCACCCACTGCACTATACACAAAGATATGTGTACACAATGCACACCTGTATATAGAGAAACAGACAGACAGACAGGTGCATGTAGGGATATGTACCCCTGCACTCACTTTCATATGCACACATCCACACAGACCTGTGCGGGCACCTTTGCATGCATGCATTTCTATGTCAGGATTTATGTGTGCACACACATATACACGTGTGCAGCTATGTGCATAAACTGAGTATAGAGGTAGCTGCCATTGTATATGCAAACCGTGTGCACATGAGTGCATAGGTACACACACACAGAGATGCATACACACGTGCACACACACAGAGATGTGTATACACGTACACACACACACGTGCACGCACGCACTCCATCGCAGCTGCCATGCCGCATTCCCCCACATGGGGGCGCTCTCCTCCCGCGCCCCTCCCGGCCCCGCCCCTCCATGCCCCGCCCCGCCCGCCCGGCCCGGCGCGGCGCGGTCCCTGCATGCGGGCGGGCGGGCGCCGCGCCCCGCTCCGCGCACTTCGGGGCCCCCGGGGCCGCCGAGGCCGCGCCGCGTTCGGGCCATGCGGCCGCCGCCGACGGAGAGGAGGCGATGAGGCTCCGCAGCGGCACGGCGCTCACGCTGCTGCTCGGCTGCCTCTGTGCCTTGCTCTCGCTCTCGTGGTACGGAGCCTTCGGCGGGCACAAAGGTAAGGGGCGGCTCCGGGCCGCGGGGCGATCCGGTGGGGTCCGCGGAGATCCTGTGTGTGGATCCTAGGGACCCGGGGTCCCGGCTGGCGGCATCCTGACGCGCCGCGCTGGGGTCCCATAGCGTCCGCGGGGGCCGCACTGGGGGTCCGCGGTGCTGCGCTGCGGGCTGGGGGTGAGCCGGGGCTGCTGGGCGCTGCCGGCTGCGATGCTCGAGGGGAGAACCCGTGCCGGCTTTAAATCCTACTGGGTTTCAATCCCTATGGAGAGATGGGGGCCCCGTGGCTTCAGGGCGATGAGGGACCAGAAGGACGGGGAGCCGAGCGCCCCGCTGCCGTGCTGGGGCTCTTGTGAGCAGCCCCTCCCTGTGCTTCTGCGTGGTGCTGAGCTGGGTGCCGGGTTTGGGACGGTCCACAGCTGGGAGCTGCTGCCTTTGCTCATCCTGCAGCAGAAATACGGGGCGTGACCCCAACGGAAGCCCCTCTGTGCCCTTCTGGTAGGGCTCGCAGCCCTGATTCCGTCTGGCACCGGTTGCTGACGAGCAGCGGTGGTTACAACAGGTTACAGGTAGCGCGGGTTGTGTGCCGGCACGGTGTGTTTGCTGCTGGTGAGGCTGTCCTGGGACCGTTGTCAGCCCTCAGAGGTCATGCAGTCCATCCCAGCCCCTACGTAGAATCGGGGCATACGTATCCTTCCTGCCTGATGTTTGTCCTATTGATTCCTAATAACCTATGATGACAGAGATACCTGAGCTCCCCAGACAGAGTTTGACATTTAACAGCCCTACCAGCAGATTTTTTCATACGATCTAAGCAGAAATGTTGCTCTGTTTCCCTTCTTGGGGTACACACAGGGCGGTTCCTTCCCTCACTGCAGGAGCTCTTTGGTCTGTGGTGGCTCCGCTGCTCCCCTCAGGGCTGTCATGTTGAGCTGACACCCAGCACAGGGCTGAGGCACTGCTGTGCACAGAGAGCAGAGCTCACTGTGGGTCTTATCCTTCTCGCTGTGTACTTTTGTTGCTTTGTACTTTTGCTACAGATGATGCACGTTTAATGGGTTTTTTGTCCCATCTGCCCTTTAGCCGTGCTTCTCCAGAACTTTTCCTGCTTTCCGTTCCTCACCTGGTTCATTGTTCTCACCAAATCCCATCACATCGCACTTGTCCTGGCTGAACCAGGTCTTCCTTGTTTTAACAGATGAGTGCAGGGGGTCAGGATTGTTCCAAATGCTGCTCTTGTGCTGGCACCCCCTCGGCTGGGGATGGCCTTTGAATGCCATCAGTGCGTTTTGTGTCCCAACAAGCAGCTCATGGATGGAAGTCCCAGTCTGGGCTTCCCTGGACCATTCCTCAGTCAGGTCCTCCCACTCCTTGCTTTATTGGCAAACCCCATTCACACCCATTTGTGCCCGCAGTGGGACACCATCCTGCAGCAGCCGGGTCCATCTCCTGCATCCCAGCTCTATTATGGGATGTCACACCCTGCCACAGAAATATGATGCATTTGCAGTGATTTGGTTGCGGTAAAGAAGGGTTTCTTGTGCTCAGGTCCTCAATGCTGTCTAAATACATCATTGAAGTTAAGCTGATTAATCTGTAATATCCCAGATCCTCCTATCCCCATGCCCTGGCTCCTCGGGGCAGGCTGTGTCCATCACTCACTGCAGCATTGCTGTCCCCTGCCACGACCTGGGGACAGCTCTGGTGACACTGCTCTGCACAAATGGGGAGCACATGGATGATAAAACACAGAAAGCATCGAGCCTGCTTGCCTCTGTCACCTGCTCTTTGTTGGGAGGACAAAACAATTAAATGAAAGTCGTTCAAACAGGTCTGACCAGCTCCACAGCCGCTCTCACACAGCTGCTCAGGGTTTGCTTACCCACTGCAGGTAGCACAGGGGCTGTGATGCCCTCCTTGTGGTGCATGATGTTGCAGGCTGGCAGCCCTTGGGAGCAGCACCCAGCAGTTTTCCTGCCTGCAGATGAGCAACAGAAGGGATGAGAACAAGTTCCAGTGAGATGCTAGCGGGTTGGTGGGTTTCCTCCTTTGATAAGGACAGTTTGGATGTGGCAAGGCTTCCTGCTGCTCTGTCCTTTCTGTTCCTTGCTCCTGCACCTGGAGTTCTACAGCTCCTGTTGGAGGTGCAGGGCAGCACTTTGCAGGTCCTGTCCCTGCTCAGGGCTGGGGCTGTCCCTGTGTGTGACATCCACAGTGTATGTGACACATATATGTGACACATGTACCAACCTGTGGAGGCTGAGGGGGTGCAGATGGGGGGCTCTGCAAGGGAGCTGCAGAGGTTGGAAATCTGTCATTAAAATGCACAACAAATAACAAGGATATGCAGAAGTGTTTCTGAGAGCCCCTGCTGGGTCATTGCAGTGCTCACCAGCAGCTGTGGCTTATGCACAGAGTGCAGCAGCATGTGCAAGATTATCTTGCTTATGGTTTGACCAAATTCATCCCGAGAATGAGTGGCACCATGCAATCTGTTGATGTGCATTTATCAAAATAAAGCTTTCGTTGCCTGGAGCCAACTGCATTTCTGCTTACATCCCTTGGCAATTTATTGTTGGGTTTTCACACTGGGCTCTCACTCTGTGTGCCCTTATGGGTGTTCCTCTGCTGCTGGGAAGGACAGAAGCAGAACGGGTTCTGCACACCTCTGGTTATACCGAGCATGGCCTGTGGTTTACTTCTCTTGCAGAACAAAACCGTTTCTGCTTTGCGATTCCCTTTGATTCATCTGGAAGAAATCATTGATTTGTGCTTATATCCTGAATGTTCATTGATTATTCACTTAGTGTTTAAGGTAAAGCCCATCTACAGCTTGCTAGTTTAAGTGAAACTGCCACTCATCTCCGGAAACCTTTGAAGCCTGCTGAATTATGAAGAAATTGCTTTAGTGATAAACTGGGCAAAGCTGCTCCGCCTGATCAGCTCTGGTACGAGTGCAGTGGGCACAGTGCTGGTGTTGGTTCCCCCTGCACACAGAAACCAAGAGAACCATTTCTGGTGAAAGCCATGGAGAAATCCACAAAATGCTGCTTCCACTGAGCGGGAGGGAAGAGCTGAGGCGAAGGGCAGAGCTGAAACCCATCTGGGGGCAGAAAGGCAGAAAACCTTCCCACGGCTGTTGGAATCATTGAGGTTGGAAAAGACCACCAAGATCACCAAGTCCAACCATTGACTGCTCACTAAGCCGTGTCCCTCAGAGCCACATCTTATCCGTTCCTCTAAAACCTTCGATGGATGTGAACTCACTCCTGCAGCAGCCAACCTACCGACCATTGGCCCACTGTTGGCCCCAGTGAACCCTCGCTGAGATTTGCAACTCCTGAATTCCAAGTGATGGTGAACAACAAACACACCCAAGCGCTGGGATGTGTCATGCAGCTCTCTTTGCTTTTGGGTTTAGGGGTCCCTGGGGCATGAGGCTGGGATGCCCTGGGGTAGATGGCATGGAGCATCCCAGCGCATGGGGAAAAAACTTCCCTCCTCACCTGAAGGATGCAACTGTTCCCATGCTGGTTCTGGTTGGCCTCTTGTTTTTTCCCAAGAGGAAGCCGTGAGGTCAGCAGGGCTCAGTGCATGCAGGCAGAAGTCGCTGCCAAATTAAGGGATTATGAAAACTATTAAAATAAAGGAAGGGCTTTAGCTGGGGCTGGAAGGTTCATACCGCTAGAAGGAGAGGCTTTTCAGGGATTGCTGATCGAGCATCTGCTTAATAGCTTCCTGACTTGGGGAGAGGATTGTTGTCTTTGACAGAGGGAAATGTGTTTTCCTGCTTTTCTTATTGTAATTGAGGTGTAGAGACTTTTTATTCAGCGATGACCTTTGTTTTGTTTGTGGTTGAACAGCTCACCTCAACCTTCTCTCGCTTTGCAAGACAACCCAAGAAGGGCAGGTCTCTGTTTTAAGCCATCTTTCTCGTTTCTCTGTAGCATTGGCTGCTTTTCCGTGTGCTTGTATCCCTCTCGAGTCACATTCTTTTTTTCCTCATGTTAGTTGAGCTGCATTGTCCATTTGCTTTTATCCACAACTGTCACACTTGTGGTTTAGGGTTAGCTGCAGTGAATTGATACTAACCTGGGGAAGGTCACTGCACTGGTACCAGTGCCACTGCCTGCTGCCTCACCTATTCCTCCAGGAGTTTTTGGACTGTTTTTGGAGTTCTCTATGGCGTGGATATGCCCTGAAAGATATGAGGTAGTTTTTCTTCTCTCCCAGTGATGGCGAGAGCTTTCTGGAAACAGGAAACATGCAGCATTCCCATTGCCTGTCCCCACATAAGCAAGAACTTGCCTGTGTTGGGTGCCTGGTGGATGAGTGGGCTTGGGTAGGGTTAGGCTCTCTCAGGGTTGACAGCACCCTTAGAAAAGTGCCCAAGGAATGAATTATTCAGTTAATGCTGGCAAAAGCAGTGTGATGTCCTCCTCTCCCTCCTGTGAATGCCCAGACTCTGATGTTGTGCTTTTGATCTTGCCT